CCAGGTGCGATTAGTTGTCATAGCGATCCGAGACATCGCCAAAGGGGAGGAGATCACAGTGGACTACAGCCTAACGGACTGGGGCGAGAATGCAATGGTGAGTTACCAACTGATGGAAACGTGACATGTTTGGTGTTATTCTGTATTTGTCTCTGGCATGAAAAGATAAAAGCTCAACTGCGACTAGAGCCTTCTAAGAGTTTTCCTTACAATTGTTCTGTGTCATAGACCCCTGTTGCTATGAGGTGACAGTCCACCAATGCATAATCAAGCTTTAAGCCCTAATGCTAAAAGCTACAGATGGTAGCTGTGTGGGGAATTATTTTCCCGTTCATAAACGTGACTGTGTCCTCAGTAGGATCCAGGAGACTCTCAAATGGGCACTGCAGACAGAATGAAGTTTGAAACGATTGAGAGACACACATGAGGACTTTTTTCTTTTTGATTTTTGCCTGTGAACTAAAAAAAAAATACATCTTTTATTTTTTTTTAATCTGTCCATTTAGGAGGAAGAGGCTGGCCCCCACCCACTATCGCTCTCTGTTTCTGATTACCTTACCCCCTCGTGGTCATTATCGCCCTCTTCCTCCCCACTCACCCACTCTGAACCCAGTGACTCAGACCGGGAGGAGGATGAAGAGGAGGAAGATGATGACGACGACGACGATGATGAAGAAGAGGAAATGGAAGAGATAAGGGGTCGAATGCTTCGGCGCCGCAAGAAACGCAAGTTGCCTGCGGCGGTCAATTCGAAGAAGAAGAATAATGCGCCCACTTCTTCCAGAGGACCTGGGCGCCCCTGCTCCTCCTTCTCCCGCCCGACACCTGTTGCACCCCCACCTAGATCCCAGCCCGCAGTCAGTTCTCTGACACCCCCAACCACTAACATAAACAATAACATCAACATAAACATCGGCAGTTCTAGTAGTCCCACGGTGAGCCGGCGGCAGCACTGCCCGTACTGCGGCCGGCACTACCGATCCCTGGCACGCCACCTGGAGAAGCACCACGCCAACCAACCGGAAGTCAGAACAGCCATGGAGCTGGCTCACCTCCACACGCACAGCTCTTCAAATGGCAGCGCCTCGCAACCCCACCCCTCTTCATCCTCCACCTCTGCTACTCACAGTCATTCCTTCGCAGTCCCTCAGTCGTCCTCCTCCAACCCAACTCCCCCATCTCTCTTCCCCAGGGAGAGGGAATCACCTGCCACCCGTTCGAGCACAGGCGCCGTCTCGTTCTCCCTTTCGCTTTCACCAAATGCTTCGGCTCAGCCTGCAGCTGCTAAGAAAGCACCCAGCTTACCACTGCCCGCTACAAAACCCCCAGCACCCCCGATGGTGCCCCGGGTAAAGAGTCCGTCACCTCCGCCACTGTCTACCCCCAGAAGGGGCCGGAGGATGAAGAAAGAAAAGCATGAAGAACAGCAAAAAGTCGAAGTGGAGAGTCCAAGAAATCAAGAGGAGTTAGTTCCACCTCCTACACCGGACCCAGACATCGATCCAGATGAAGAGCTGGAGCTGAGCGCGGAAGGGGAGGACGATGCACCTGAAGAGAAGAATGGAGAGATTGTAAGGTGTGGTGAATTATTGTCTTTTTTCTGCTCTGCTGTATCTGAGTGTTTTTATGTTTGAGGTTTTTTGAAAGTTGGTTGAGATTCAACTGTTAATTTAAAAGCATGTTTCTCTTTCTTCCCTTTCCAGCACACACAGACATCACATGTCTCCACTACTCTCCTCCCTTTCTTGCCTGGTCCTGTATCTCCGTCGTCAGCAGCACTCCTCCTTCCTTTCTTTGACTCGTTCTCCTCATTCTGCCGAGGCCTGGCGCCTGCTCTGCCACTCCAGCCTCTCTCTGCTCATCCTCTACAATCGCCACCGAGAATGCGAGGTGGCCAAGCTCACTATCCAGGACTACCGTAACCGCATCACCCCTCAGCCCAACGCCAGCAACAGCTCCCCTTCTGGCATGGAAGCTTTCCTGTCCCCCTTTGAGCGCCAGGTCTTGTGTCATCTCCCACGGGCTGGTGTCTTAGGCAAGCGAGGGCGCATTCAGCCACTAATTCTCCCGCCACACTGCGAATCCTGCCTCGACCTGCTTCTTCGAACCAGCCCCAACGTAGGGGTGGACCCAGAGAGCCCCTACGTCTTCTCCCGGCCCTACCACTCCCCTGCTACCCCACTCCGTGGCACAGACCTCCTGAGAAACCTGGCTCGAGCCAGTGGTGCTAAAAACCCCGGAGCATTAACGGCAACACGAGTGCGGCGACAGGTTGCCATCCTTACCCAGCTGCTACTGCTGGAGGAGGGTGACACCCAGGGAGGAGCCATCAAACGGCTGGAGGACTTCCTGGAGCACGAGTACCACGTGATCCAGAACTGCTCCACTATCATACGAGACCCAGCACTGATGGGTCGTGTGGGTCGAGTCGTTCTCTATGGAGAGAGGGAGGGAGTGCTTTTCAGAGGGATGAGCCTGCAGCACATCTGCCTCGAGTTGGACGGTAAGGAAACCCTTTTTTTTTTTTTTTTTTTTTTTTAACTTAATTTTTTTCTATTCAGTAGAAATGATTGAGTGTTTGAGGAGTGTTTGCCCATCAACGTCTATTTAATGCATGAATTTCTGTCTTCTTTTTTTTTTCTTTTCTTTTTTAAAATTTTTTTTAGAAAGTTCAGTGAACCCTAATTTCACCGGTTAAGAGAATCAGAATCAGAATCAGAATGGGTTTATTGCCAGATGTTGAGGTTTACAACATTAGGAATTTGCTGCGGTGCTTCAGTGCAAACAATAAGAGTGCAGCTTTCATGGATTTAAAACAAACTAGTGCAGCTAGATGGCACTAGAGGTTAATATGAAACTTGGCGGGGGAGGGGGGGTTGTTTTTTAAACAAGGGTAAAGAATTGTCAGTGTGTTTGAGTGACTCAGGGAAATGTAGTGTGCTCATTGAATAAAATAAGAGTATCAATGGAACTCCGGCTCATCTCTAAAAAATGAGCATCAGCCAGCTGCTGGTTAGCTTTGCTTTGCATAAAATCAACAGGGAAAACGATTAGCCAGTCATTATGCTATGTTATGCTAAATCAAACACCTGCTGGCTGGCTCATTTTAAAAACTTGAATAATGTAAATTGTAGTTCTAAAAATGCAAAGTAGTTACTGAAATTTCATTTTTAAAATGTATTCAGTTATTTTCATGCAACATTATTTAAATACTGTAGTCTCCAATTTAAACTGCAACACACCCATGAGAGGAAGTTTACAAATCCGAGACCCATTTTAAGCCCTCGAGAAAAAACTTCATCATTTTGTCTGAGAAGAACATTTTACAACTTTGAACTTATTTATTACCATTTGAAGTAACATTAACCGTGTGGTTGAACAGTTTTGCTTTGCTAGTACGTTTGGATAACTAACCTCTGTTTGATCTCTTTTCATGCAGTCATGTCTGGCAACTCGGCAGATTCCTTCTCAGAAGATTCTGAGGCAGAGGAAGTGAAAGAGGAAATTAAAGAGAAGACAGAGGTCACGGTGAAAAAGAAGGGACCGGGCCGACCTCCGCGGAAGAAAAAGGCGCCCGTTCCATCACCTGTCGTCAGCCCGTCTTTAGCTAATGCCCATAAGAGAAGAAACATTCCACCTAAATCAGGTAAAATCTGTCATCATTAGTGCGTGACCTCACAAACATCTGTGTTAATACTTCAGTCATTAAACCGTGTCACTCCTCTGCCTCGGTCACACAGGGAAGCGCGGCGTCCTGAAGCGTCCCTGGTCAGAAGCCGAGCGTGTAGCAGTGGAGACTCACCTGAAGAGAAACCTCATGGAACTGCGCGTCCCTGCGAAGGCGGACTGCGAACGATGCCTCGAACTCTGCCCTCTGTTGGTGAGCAACCAGCGAGACTGGAGGGCGATCAAGTTCTACGTCCACAACCGCATCCAGCTGCTGAAGAAGCAGGGGAGGAGGGAGAGCGCGGCTGCAGTCTGCTAGGGCCGAGCGCTAGCAGGACAGATATCATAATGTAAAAACCACCAGCAATCACAATGAAGAGGAAAAACTCTAGATCACGATCGGACGCAGTTTCTCTTTCCCCTTTATTTTTATTTTATTTTTTACATGGGTGCCGTACTCTGAAGTATAGCTGCATTCCCCGTCTCTGGTCATATGGGAGTAGTGTAATAACAATGAGTAAGCTAAGAAGACAGATGGGTTACTCCAGTTAAGGATGATGAGTGTACTCGGTGTTGCGGATGCCCGGTGTCTCTTTTTTTTTTTTTTTTTTTTAAATGTCTTCAAGCGGTTGTACAAAAATGTACTTTTGTGTGAATATGCATTGAAACACAACGAATGATTTTTTTTTTTGTATTATTTTATTATTATTTTTTTATGTCATTTTGCTTTACTACAAAACAGTGGCAAGCGAGTGAGTGTAACGGAGAGAGAGAAGAAACAAGCAACAAAGGTCTGTGACTACAGCAGTTAGTCCTTGGTCCAGCATTTCTTTCCACTGAAGGCTGAAGACCAAACATGAATGTGTAAAGCTTTGGAAGAAGAAACCAGTGGTTCTGATCTTTATAACTAGACTACATGTCATGTGAAAAAAATGTATGAAACTGTATAGTTTGTGTTTGATACTGACTGACGTTGTTCTCCCAACTCATGGCTCCCACATGAAGAGTGTATTAAAGTATTCTTCAAAATCTCGGACCATGATGCACCTGTGAAGTGTTTTTTGCAAACCTCTGTACCATGATCATAGTCGAACTAGTATGTATCAAGGCACGCCTGAATTTATTGCGTAACATAATTTTAAAAAAATAATTGTATTTCAAAATCAACATATGGTCTTATTCACAATGTAAATACTTACTAATCTATCAAAGTATGCAGTAGTGATTACAAAGTATTGTGTTATTGTGTACATACTGTAAATACTATCTGTACTTATTAAAGTGTATGACATTTTGCTGTGTTTTCGTAAACTGGTTTGTGTAAGCTGAAGACAAGAAAAATGAAATGACAAATTTTCTCATCCTGTATCGATTTTGTTTATTTAAAAAAAAAAAAAGAGGCAGTTCTGCAAAATGTCAACATTATCAAACAAAATGCACATCAATCTTTTACATTGTTTTACAAACACAACGAAAAATATCAGAGCTTTGCAGTACACAAACAACATGTTGTCAGGTACACTGCTTTCTGATTAGTATTCAAAATGCATGCTAATTACTGTAATGCTTAATTCAGAGTATTTGAAAGGCTATTCTATTTACATATGCATACCATCAAAACTTGACAACAATACAAAGACCACTACAGTAGTGACCCATCACAAAATTTAAAATGGAAAGTGATCTAACACATCAGTACACCCTCACCCCCACACCAAAAAAGAAACTTAAAAATGGTCATGTGATGCTAACAAATCTTATAGCTACTGCACAAGCAACACATGTCCTAATCACAGTATAAATAAAACGAGATGGTGTTATTGGCATACAAATACACTCCGTATACAAAGTAAAACACGCAACATCCAACATTGGTTCCACATTAAGACGAGAGGGGTTTGAGAACAACTGTAAAACTAACCAAGCCACAGACACTGCTGCAATCACAGTATCCTACACACTTGGGTATAAGAAGAAGGTACTGAGTGATACTAACTACTATGTACAGATCTGTGGTATTCTCCAGGATCAATTATTGTGCTCTGTGTTACCACAGGGTCAGCTTTGTCAACAACCACAGTAATCATTGCATCACTGAAACACTGTCAGATACTGATGGCTGGATGTGTAGTGTTCTCTGTTTGTATTAATATTTTTGGTAGTATTTTACTATTTTGTCATATTTTTGGTTTGTAACAGTGATAAACTATCAATGATCAGTTATTGATAAGCTAACCCTGTGGTATTTGTGTTAGCTTATCAAGAATCATAATTTATGGCACTATCGTCATCATTACGCACATTAACTGTTGTTTCACACAAGTTGGAGATGCAAGGCAGTGACCTCACATTCCAGGATTTTATCATTTAGGGAATATCACAAAGGTAAGGAGCTTTTATTCCCAGGATGATGATAAGAAAGTTTGCCCTCTTTACCACTGGCAGAAGCACAGTAACACACTGCTAACAGAAATAGTCCATTACCTGTGTATAGAATTTTAGAGCAGCCATTGTTTTAGTTTACAAAAAAACCTCCACAGCACTACTCATTTTGTTTATCGTATTTTGCTTCCACTTGGAATCGAATGTGTTAAAGGCATAAAGGTTTTCTTTCTTGTTTGCCTGCCTAAATTTTAATAGATATTATTTAACTTTTTTAACCATAAGCAAGAAATTCATAGTTTCAATTGTATTTACATAAAATGATGCTGCAGCCATGGAGTTTGAGTTAATATGACCTCCAAATTTTTAAACGGTATAAATAACCTGAACATGAGACAGAATTGATGGATTTAATGTCTCAGTAAGTCAGTATAAAAGTAATGTGAGGTCATTCGTTACTTTTCCCATAAAAACAAAGAAAATGTTTCAGCTTGTACAGTTTTCCTTACTTACAATATTAAGTTTCAGTCTTGTTCTCAACTGATTCTGCACAGTTTCCTTCATCACCTGTTTGACTCTGTACTTCCCTCTGTACCACCTCCATAACTGATGTGTCACCTTTTCCAGGGTTAAATAATGGAAAGATGTCACCTTTGAATCTAGCCGTGAAAGATCCAATTAGTGTTTTCTTTTCTACATTATAAAATGAAAGCTCACCACTGTCACAATCCAAATACACACCGACCGTCTCTGGTCTTGAATGGAAAGGTATTGAAATCTCAGGTTGTGTGCTAAACTGAAAACTATTTGCTCTTTTGGGAGACGAAGACAGAAACCAGAAACCATTCGATGTGTTTGGAAAAGATGTGGATGAATTACTGGGGATTTCAGCTGCACTTGTAACTCCTACCCACCAGGACTGTTTGATGTCTGTGTTAATTCTCCTCACAGAAACCTCCCAGTAGTGTTTTCCAGAAGAGAAGCCAGATGTTCCTTTGATAGCTGTGACACAGGTAACCATGCCTCCATCAGGAAAAGACTTTCCAGGAAGATCATCTGGGTGGGTGTCTCTCACTTTGTTGCCTGCAACCTTGAGGTATGGGTTGTTTCTGTCCTCAAGTTTAACATTTACTGTTGAAAATTGAATCAGAAAGAGTGACAAAAGTCATGAAAGAGAAAAAACTGTGAAAATGTGAGATTGTCAACAAAATGAATGAAGTTATTACCATAATGATTTCTAGCTTCTGAAAGACGTCCATCTTCTGTGGGGAAATAGAGAATACATGTGTTTATAATGTTATGTCCTAATGACATAACCTTCATGTGTCACAGTGATTCTAAGAACAAGGACGGCTTTAGTAACGTCTTACCTTCTGCTAAAAGTTTTTCAGTCTCTGCAGAGAAATACAACAAATAGTTTATCCATATTTTTCGTTTTAATGAAAGAATCATTTAAATCAGATTTCTTTGTCATGTCAACACTGTGCAAATGATTACAGAATGTCTTGTGTAGCTTTCCACAGTGATATTGATGGGTTAGTGTGGGATACTGCAATCCTATAACTTTTGCAATGTAGGAGGTGTATGTGATATCGGATGATCTGATATCCTCGTGTTGGTGTTGCTCCCAGACCATCATGAAAATGTTGTTCCAGGTTCAACATTGCAAGTGACCAATCACATTGTTGTGACGTTATTCTTTTGTGCGCCAAGCCATTCGTGCATTTATGAAATTCCAATGTTGCAAGGACAATATCAATTCTGCTTACTGTTTATTAAAGGGTTACGGTTAGGGTCAGGGTCCGTTGATCGGCGGACAGAGGCGGTTTCACGCAGCTTTAGTACAGTTTTTTGTTTTACGCCGGTTTTTCCCGAAGTCGCAAAAGTATGACGTCACAACATTCTGATTGGTCACTTGCAATGTTGATCCTGGAACAACATTTAGTATGATGATCTGGGAACAACACCAACACGAGGATATCAGATCAACCATCTGATATCTCCATGTTGGTGTTGTTCCTGCATCATCATAAAACTGTAGGTCCAGGATCAAGATTGCAACCAACCAATCACAATGTTGTGATGTCCATTTTTGTAGTGTGGGGGGAAAAGAATAAACTGTCTTTGCTTAGATAAAATCCTTCTGAAAGACATATTAAGTATTTTGAGTGTTTTTTTTATTATTTTTTTCAGTGTAACAAATATATTATCAGGTTAGCTTTGATGTTAGCCAAATTTAGGCTACTCCTGTTGGTTTCCTAGTGACAGATTTTAAAGCATCAGCTAACTTCTTGGCTAATGCTAACAAAGTGCTCAGACAATATGATTGGAGACTTGCGATATTGATCCTGGACCAACATTATGATGATGATGTAAGCACAACACCAGCATGGGGATAACAAATCACAGAGAGAAGTAGGATCCAGGTTGTGTCAGAGGCTGACTTTGCTCCATCTTCGAGCAAATGCATCATTCTTTTATCCCGTTATTACACATATAACAAAACCACAGCTGATGTGAAAAATGATTTGTTCAGTGTGACGTTCTTACCACTTAAGCCGTTCCCTGAAACACAAAATATTTATGTCAGGATTCATTTTCCGCCCGGACACATATTTATATAACTGAGAGCATTAATTTGAACTTGTCGTGTGCTCTTTCTTACCATCCATTTGGTCTCTTCCTGATTGGGCGTTCCTCACTGAAACACAAAACAAACATATCAGGATTTAATTTCAGACAGTGAACACTTTCTTATGACAGTGATAACTTTAAAGTGTTATATATTTAAAGATATTATATAAATGTATTGTGTATGTATTAGGTACCTTTCTTTCTGTGGTACATCACTCCCAATGCAGCCAACACTAATGCAGCTACAAGAAGCAGTGCAAAGGCCACCCACCCACCTGGCGAGGACTCTAAACAAAAAGCAAGAAATCTTGTATTTCAGCTTTTACTGTATTTACAATCAAAAACAAATAAACATAATATAACTATTACACACACACAAAAAGTCTCTTTACCAGGTTCAAGAGTCTTATGAAGAGTTCCCAGGCTCACTTTGGCCTCCTTTACCTCTTTATCAGAGAGACCCACTGAGCAGGAAGGCTCAGAGGTGGAGGAAAGAAGAAGCCAACTGTGGACTAAAAAAAGTCCAGAAGACAGATTTCTGTACACCAGACTTTGAGGTTTCACATCCTGCTTCTTGTCTGACCAGCGCAGCACAGGCTGTGGATACCAGCCTTCAGATTCACAGCTCACGTTCACCTTGTCATCTTCTCCCCACACTACTGATAGAAAAGGAGGACTTCCCGAAGCTAGATAAAGTGTCCGAGGAGGAAGATGAAGAACATTTTAATGCGATGGTTTAGAGCAAAGCTTTAAACATCATATATACATTTCCACCCCTAAGTCACTCACCTGTCACGAGTAGATTAACAGGTGCACTATCATATCCCTGGTTGCTGCTGACATAACAAAAAAAATCTCCTGTATCCTCAGTTGTGACGTTCAGCAGCTTCAGGCTCACATCGCCTGATTTCAGCCCGCCTGACGCTGCATCCTTGAGTCCAAATGAGACTCGGCCAACGTAGGCAGGTTCTTGATATTTGAACTTTTTTGACTGGTAGTGCATTACCGGGCTGTCAAAGCGATTAGTACGGTACCAGCGTACCTCCAGCTCCTCTGCATTTTGCTGTGGACTGAGCCAGCACGGCAATGTGACCTGATGGCCACGAGTCCCAGTGACAGGAGACGTGGTGGTAACCACCAAGTTGGTTGAAGCTGTAAGATAGATAACGCTGGCATCATTTATCTTTTACACTGGCAGAGTGGAAAAGATGGTTAAACACAGAAAGATAAATCTTATTATAACGAAGTCAATCAAGTTTCCAGGTTTAGCAAGAGAAGTAACAATAACATGTGGCTAAACTTGAAAAAATCAGAAACATTAAAGGTATGAGCAGAATCAGACACTGAGATTGTGTGTGTGTGTGTGTGTGTGTGTGTGTGTGTGTGTGTGCGTGCTACTAATCAGAGACTTACTGGGAGCAGCAGTGCAGGAAGATATAAACAGCGTCAGGAGACACAGACCTGTCACCCGTCGATCTGTAAAAAGGGAGGTGACGGAAAATTGTAAGGAGACGTTATAATTTCCTCCCCATAACTCAAATCCAGCAACGCTTAAGAAAACAAGCGTTTAATGTTGACGGCAGAAAAAAAGGGCCGAGGGCTAGTTCACGATTAGCATGCTGCTAAACGACAAAATAAGTGATCAGTGTCGACCTACCCATCGTGTTTCTGTAGCTCCACCGAGAAATCACCCTCACACAGTCAGAGATGTGCAGCTTAAAGGGAGGGACGAGAAAACGTGAAATCCAGCAGTCCGGGTAGTCCTTTCTTTCTCTGCAGTTTCTCCGCTGACCTCGATAGCTTGCTGCTTGCGTTACTCTTACTTTCACTTTCATTTTCATTTTCGTCGGAGAGGGCGGAGAGACGAGGATTTGAACTCTGAAACAACTTTTATTATATCGATCTCAGGATGTCTGTAAGTACAACGTCTCCCGTTTGGGCCAATCTCAGCGAAACTTTGCGCGAACATCGCCACACATACAGTGATGATTACAATCGCTATGATTTTTTTTAAAAAGACTTAATGTGAATCTAAAATGTTTTTGACTTCAGTGTAACGCTACTCTCCGTTTGCGTTTGTTTCACGTGACACGCTCAACGTAGGTTGCCCGTATGTAACTTAACGGTCACCGTAGTTTGTATCGGCCACGTGATTTTGTTTCATGCATCGCTACGAATGACTGCAGACTTTGAAAAAGAGCCGCAGACTGGGTCGATGGCGTGCAGCTCTGTGCCCTCATACAGACTAAAATGGCTCATACCACTTTTTATGTCCGATATCGATATCATAAATTTGGATATCTGCCGATACTGATATGAATCTGATATAGTGTATTTTATAATCAATAAAACAGTTTTTTAGGTCTTGTTGCATTTTGTATAAGTACATACTCAAGTTTTAAAAAACAAAACTCCAAAGCTATTCTATTATACCCGTATGCAAAAATACATTGCACCCAAAATATTTAAAGTTCACCAATACTGTTCTTTTTATTTCAACTTTTGGTAGAACTTTAAATCTAAGTATTTTAAGAAATATTCAAAAAGTAATTCAAAATGCAATTCTATGCATATTTAAAAAACTCTTTGGCTCTGGAAAAAAAAAGAAGTGCAGTATCAGCACAAAAATAATGTTTATATTCAACAACTTAAAAAACAATAACAACACATTGTAGAATGGACCCTTTTATACTTAAAGCTGAACATAAATTGACACCCAGACTGGAAAGCAGTGCAAATAAATGCAACCATGGCTTCATGACACTCATATTTTATCAAGACGGAAGCTGTTTCTATCACATTTAACCTGAGACTGAATTTTGTCTAATTTCTACACACAGCTTAACACAAGTATAAAAAACTTCTTTTTCATAGTTCCTGTTTTTTTAACCACGAAACGGTTTCGTCTGCAACACTGCTTTTTCCAAAGAAAGACTTGAGTCTATCCATTGAACGGTCAGATTTAATAATGACAACGCACAGACCTCTGAGCTGCATATATCGGCTGTAAAGCTTAATGTAGGAATGCTTTAAAAACATTCAGAGATGAACTTACGCACTTGCTTCACATTTCTGGGATAGGTTGCTTGGAGATTAAATGCCGGTTTGGCAGCATGTAGCGAGGCTCCAAATGCTTTCAGTGTGAAGCAACTCCAGACTGCTGACAGGTCTTGCAAAACCAGCGATATAGGATCCATACATTGTTTCTATCCTCTGTTCGGTATGTAGCCCTCTGAATTGTGTCAGATATTTATTTATTTATTTATTTATTTATTTGAAATGAAAAAATAAAAATGTCTGAACGTTTTGTCTGTTTTATTTATAAAAGTCCCAGTTTCAAAATTAATGAAAAGCTGAAAGGTGTTTTGTTGTGTTAACTAATTATTGTGGAAAATAAAACTCACAGTGATTTAGTGGTGATTAAAATGAAAAATCAGAGTTTGCAAATTGATCATTCATCTCATAAGTTATTATGACACACGGATCTCCCCTACATAAGCTGGTGTTTATTAGCTAAAAATATCAGTATTGTAATGATATCGGCAATGATAGACCACTCAAACTAGGGGCGTAATTTCCCGGGGGGTTATGCCCCCCCCCCCCCCCAATAATTAGTTTCAGGTATTACCAGCAAATTTGTTGCATGTTTAATCATCTGGAAATTTACCCAAATATATTTATTTATTTATTTAGACAGAGATCTTGACACCCCCAATGTTCAGCACAAAGTTACGCCGATGACTGAAACTTATCACAATATGAGAAAAAGAAGTACAGTTCCAGCATTATGTACTAGATTTTCCATGAGATAGAGAAACTGCTATAGTAAATGGAAAAAACTTTCAGTTTGAATCTGACTGTTAAATTTTAAGAAACAAATGTGTAAAATTACAGGAAAAGATTCTGATCAGTCCCCAGACGGTCCTCTAATTATAAAAGAGAAAGTTTGTGTTAATTAGCCAAAAAATGTATTTTTTGCAAAAAAATAAAAATAAATTTTTTTTTAAACTAAAAACAGACGTCAGTAGTTAAAAACTGTTTTGTTGTTTATTACTTAATTACTGCGGTGTAATATTTATTGGCACTGGGGAGGTTTTTATAAGCTAACTCTGTTAGCAAGATAATGACATTCATCATTGATATTTAAATCAGTTTTGATGACACATCATGATGTACAGTATTTATTCTCTAAAGTAAAAACAGAAAAATTTAAAAAATGACAATAACAGACACCCAACTGTATATAAGGTGGTAACGAGGTGATGTACGGGTTGGAGACAGTGACACTGACAAAACGACTAAAGGTGGCAGAGCAGACGATGCAATGACTTTAGCTGTGTAACAGGAGGTCCTTGTGGAGAAACAGAGAAAGACCAGAGGAGGTGTGTGGATGTAGTGAGGAAGAAAAGACACCTTTGACTAAAACCAAGAAATTTTTTAAAAACATTTGTCCTGCACACACTCAAAACACTGTTCTAAATAAGAGTTATTTTATACAAATTTAAATAATTTGCTTAGCATTATTTAATTAATAAGCTACGAGTTCAAAGGTTTTGCAATAGGCTGTTAGAATTGAGTTATTGCACTTGAATTCTGTAAAATATATAGCATAGTCCCATTGTGGACAGATGATGAACACTGTTGCTGCATGTGAGAGGATGTTAATAAGGCTTAACTGTAAAAATGACAAGGAAAGACCACTGGGACAGTTTATGTGGGTTCAAATCCAAAGACAAAGTGGAAACATGACCTGTATTGATCTTGAGACTGTGCACTAGATGTTTGGCAAATGTATATCACCCAATAACTCACTGTACACATTTCTTTGCACACCGTACTCTATGTCAGTGTATTTGAACTGCCTTGTTCTGTGTTTATGTTTTTATATGTAATTCAGTAAACCTTTAAATTATAAGAAAAACACACCCATTCTTTTTAGAGGTTCATAAAATGCGATTGAAACATGTTTAGATGAAGTAAGTTGAGCTCTTGGAATATTTTAATCCTTCACAATTTTGTCATTTTATTTCAACACTATTCAATAACTTTTAGCCCAATACTACTTGGTCACTTAAATACTACATGTTGTCTTCATATTACATAATGTTCAACAAAGTCTAGAGTCTGGTTACCATATAAAGTGAATGGATCTACAACAACTACCGTCCTCCTATTTTTATCCTGGTTGCAGGGGGGCTGGGGCCTAATCCTGAAGTGATAGGTTACACCCCAGACAGCTCACCATTCTATCACAGAGACAAACAACCATTTGTGCCAGATGGTGGATTTGAACGAGGACCTTCTTACTGGGAGACAGCAGCACTAACCATCATGCCACCAATCCAGGCTTATCAAAAGTAGGAAAACTATGATTTCAAGGCTTGATGCAGAATTTTCTTTACATTTTTGTCCTTGACAGGTTAAACCACAATAAATAGCAATAGCATACACGTGGTGTGTCTAGTTGTCTGCCTCTTATAACTCCAGTGATTTTCCTGCAATTTGAAATCTCATGTGATTTAATACTTTAATAGTGCCACGAGTAGATTAAAAGGTGATCTGTCATAACCCTTGATCTACCTTAATACTCAGGTCACTCACACATGAACTATATTCAGACCAAGTCCTCTGCACTATTTTCAAGCATGTTGCATCCTGTTCACTAATGTATGTCCTTCTATTGTTTTGTATATATTCCTCTTATTTTGTACATATTTCTCCTGTTTGTTATTTATTTATGCCGTCTTGATATTTATATTTTATTCCTGTAGAATTTTGTTGTACATGTACAATTACAATAAAGGACTATTTTATTCTATTCTATTCTACTCTAATTTTTCACATATAAAAGTCAATAATTGTGCTCAGATTCTTCTACATTAAAGCTGAACTAGTTGCCCTTTAAATAACTTTTGTATCAGCCCCGCACTATAACTGCATCCACCAATCGCAGCACGGCGTCCTTCTCGCCGATCCAATCAAGTGACCCTCGGACTGTGTTTGGGTGGTTTGCTAGTTTTCACGTGAGCGCGGTTCGTCAAGGTGCGCGCTAACAGTCGAGTAAACACGGATGTTATTCGAAATTAGCGTCTAAAACACTGCGCAGCCTGTGCAACAACAAAGGAAAGACACCTCAGAGTGTTTAATGTTTATATAAATAATTTCATGTTAAGTTTTTGATAAGATATGATAAGCGTACTGAAGAAAAAACTCGGCAGAACACAGTTTATTTGGGACTCAATTTGCCTTATTTTGAAAGAATTTACCGGAAGCCGATGCTTAAATAATGGGTGCCTTGCGTGTTAGAGCTGTCACTGATATCATAGTCCAGCTTTGCGTGTTTTTATGTGGCGTACTGTGCTTTGTTCTTGGTAAAACGACCGTTTATCATGGTTTGCGGTATCAGTTAGACTCGTGCATATGACTTAAGGGGCCAAATGTTTCTCCCTAACGTTAGCTAGCTAGCTACCCGGAGCTTTATGGGAGAGGTGAAAGTTAGCAAGTGTCGTTCACTGACCCTCGACTACATGGCGACCTAAAAGTACTGTTTTGCTTTTTCAAAGTCCACGGGTGGAGTCATAATATCGCAGAGTTAGTGTTTTGTTAAAAGATGTCTCAACCTGAACCCGACAGCACCACCCCGCTGCTCAGGGATGAGAGGAGCAGGTAAGTCCAGATAGCCGCCTCCCTAAATAAAAACAACGACAGGAAGCTTGAGTATGAATACACTGTTACCCAACAGGTTGTAAAAGCACTGGATTTACTGGCCTTGTGTTGTGTCTGTTTTGCCGTATGTAAGCAACAGAGCTAAGCTACAAAGCAACTTAACATAGGTAGACTTTATTTACAGTCGCTAAATAAAACACGCAACTGCAGTCAGAGATGGTGGGTGCAGCAGCTTTATTCACCTTTATTCTTTAACCCAGTTTTTCTTCATCATACTGTGTTCTCGCTCCTATAAAAAGGAGACGCTGACCTGTCACTTGGCCATATATCTTGCTGGCTCGTACATTACTCGTATAGGTTACATTGTCTTGCTGGTATGTCATCCTTT